AAATGAAAAATAAAATTTTCTCTTACCTAGGGTATGAAGGAGCACGAAATGGAGATTGAAGAATGCCTTATTTTCATGACATTTCTAGTTAATTTTATGTTAATTTGTCATTTATTAAGCTTAAATGAATTTAAAATTCATTTAATGGGAAATGACAATTTTACCATTAATGAAACTTGATAATGACCTCCATACCAAACCACGTAAAACTTATCATCTTCCCAAATTCAAATATGAACAAAATAATTCTCCCTTTAAAATTTTACCCATGTTATTTTCCAAAAACTTCAATCTTATCATTTTCATCCAATTGTCCAAATTGAACATGGAAATAAATTCTCAAATCCAATGATCCACGTTATTTTCCATCATTTTAAATTTTGGAAATAATATTTCTAAGCTTAATTTAATAACCTTCAAATTTTCTAAAAATTTCTATTCGATCTGATTTACCGAATTTTTACCGAACTTTAACACTTTCTAGCATTTAACACAAATTCCGAATCAAAAATATGATTACCACCAAAACATCATTCTTAGGGGTTCACTATTCATTTATGGAATAAAAATTCTTTTTTGGAAAATTACACTTTGGTCTATAATTTTTTCCTAATTTTATACTTTGGTTACCAAAATTTCAAAATTTATATTTTGGTCACTAACCAAAATTTGGGGTATTACACTGATATTATCCTAAGTGTTGATACCAAAATTGATTTGATATTTGAAGGAAATAACTTAGTATTGATACACATAGAGTAATTATACTTCTTCTTTAGGGTATTGATATTTCCCAAGTACCAAGACCAAAATTGGCTAATGGAATTTGTAACCTAGCGATGGTATTGATACCCCACCCTTTGGTATCAATACCCGACGAACAATTTCAATACTATATGAATATAGTATTGATACTACCCATTCAAAAACCCTTTATTTTAACTATCTAAGAACAGTACCATAATTGTTCACCTAATACCGATACTCAAACCTAGAAATGCTCTGGTTTATACGAAATGTCAACCCCAACTCAAACTATAAGACCCTCTAAGGATCTTAGACGTTATTTAAACTTTATGTAAGTTTAAAGGGGTCACAATAAGTCTTTTATCATGCTTCATAACATCAAAATCCATGTTCCACCTTGAATGCATTCACATGCTCTAAGAACTTATACAAGTTAACCAATGCACATAATGACTTACAAGTGGTATAGATGAGTTAGAAATGTGTTACCTTACTCCAAGCTGTTGAGAAATAATTCCAACATCATCCAAGTATAGAGCTTTTTCCAATCACTTTCACTAATCAAAATATTTTAAAAAAATGAGTTACTAACTCACTTAGGAACCTAAAAAGAAGTTAAGAATTGTCCTTAAGGTTTAAAACCACTAAAAATGAATTGGTTTAATAAGGGTTTTTAAACCCCCCCCCCCACTAAAACCCTTGTTATGGCCACCATGGAGAAAGAAAGCTCAATAGGAAGCTCTAAAGGTGTGATTAACAATGGTAATTTAACAAGCATTGTAATTGTCGAATAAATAAGTCTTTTCTCGTATAAATAAGCTATAAACACAATATAGAGAAGAAAAGGTTGATCTGTAGGGACATAGAAATTTTCACTATCAGTTTGAATTAATCTTGATCCGAGGAAATTGTAAGAGAGAACTAAAAAAAGGTTTAGAAAAAAATGAATAAAGTAAAAATAATAAAAACAAGAAAAGTAGATGATTGAAAATAATTATGATGAGAGATAGCTTCGCTTCGCCTCAATTCATCTCAATCACTGAAAGGGATTTTACTTCGAGATTCTTATCGTTACAGTCTACAAGGTCCAACCCTTGTAAGTTACTCTTCTCTCTAGTGAACTAATTTTCCAAAGTCAATCATTGGTATTTAGTCCTTCTTTGGATTAACAACGGATATCGATGTTAACGCCAATGTAACTTTGAAGATCGTCGTTAAGTGTGTTCTTTAGGAAGTTGAATTTGCTATAAGCTAAATATTCTTCCCAATGGTAAATCAAAACATTGATCAAACCAACGCGCACCTTTTGAATTGAAGGTATTGAGATATGTAAAGGAGAGGTTGATTGTCAATCCAAGGTTGCAGAAAATTGAGAAAGATATTCGAAGGTTTAAAGTGCTCTTCAATTCTCACGAAATGGATTGAGTCGTCGTTTAGCTATCAGCTAATTAGAAAATTAGCTAAGCATGATAGAAATCATACTTAGCATGTAAAAAAAAGTAAAAGAAAATAAAGAAAGATGAAGAAGAAAATAATCTTTATAGAACTAAAAATCACAAGGCAAATAAAAACAAAAGCAGTACATCTGTAGTCTTCAACTTAATGGGTATTTATAGCTTGAAATAACCTAAAGAAAATAAAATACCTAAAGGAAATAAAACACTTAAAGATAATTCTAAGAACATTCAAAAACTTAAATCCAAATTAATAGCAATCGAAAATCCTATATAATAAAGAGATAATTCCTAAATAAAATAATAATTCTCAAATATTTAAATTCAAATAAAACAATCAAGTCCTAAGGAGTTTTCGTCCACTCACCCTTCCTTATTGATTCTGTTGAGTAGGTCACCTTCTAGAAGTTATCGCTAATTGGACTGCATATTCTGCCACATCGTCATCGTGTTGAATCTCGATTCCAGAAAAAAAAATCTGCATAATTCACCCTTTAATTGTTGTTTTCTGGAAAATAGAGTCATTCATAGAATTAAACGTAAACAACCCAAATTAGCAATATCAAAGAGATAACAAAGAGTAGTTAGCAACAAAATATTAATAAAATAAAACACTCATCAGTTTCCTACAAGGCTGATGGATTTATCCAAAACCTTCTCAGGTCAACCTAAAATTACTAACCTGATATTTGAGGTGTTACAAGAACAATGAATATGTCTATTATTTTCAACATTCTATCGATTTCATACATCGTGAAGATTCCACAACATAATGCTAATGTGATAAAATTTGTAAATGGTGTTTTTATTATTTTTGGAAACATGAAATTAATATTGTAATATATTTTATTATTATTCAGATTAATTAAATGTAAGATTTTATTTAGATTTCAAACAATATTGTAATAGATTTTGTAGTGGTTTCATTTTTATTTTTTTTTAATTTATGCACTACAATGTTTTTTAAATTCCTCGAAAACAATTTTATGTTATGGGCATAATTATTCTTTTAACGTGTAACATTCACAAACTCTAAACTTAAAATATCATAAAAAAATATTACTAATATTTAGGTTGTTTTCTATCCTTGAAAGATAAATTTACAATTTTAAATTGAGTAATATTTAGGTTGCATGGAAAGAAGATATACCAAATATAACAATTATTATGGAGTAAGGATAATATTCCACATAACCCTATACACATAACCATAACATTGGACAACATGATGTTCTTTCATTAAATTAAAATATTTATTCATTTCCACATTCTTTCATTACATTACAATATTTATTCATTTACACCATAAGCATATGACTCTTACATATAATCCTAACATCATAATATGTGGACTCATCACATCATAACATGTGGACTCATCAGAAGTAATGATAAGTTCTGTAATCCTTTATTTTATTTTTCTTGTCTCATGCAGATTTCATGAACCAATACTTCTAGGTCTCCATCATCTATCTATGTTAGTTTTGTATTCAAACTTGAACTATCAACATCAACCTTAACGAACTCTACATATAGTTTCACATTTTAGAACCATATGTTTTAAACATCCCAGCAACGTCAACATCATTGTTTCGATCAAAATTTAAACATGATGTGAGGAATTTAAAAGCAACGAAGCTAACCTTCTATTTCTTTCTGGTTAAAATTTTTTATGATATTGGTGATCAACTCATATAGTTCAAGATTTTTTGAATGACACGACAAAAGATTTCGCATCATAAAAAACTACTGCAGAGAAGGTAGCCATAGGTAAAAAAAATTTTGATGAAGTTTCTAGAAGTTAAACAATGAAATATCTTAGAGATTGTTTTAAAAAAACCATGAATTTAATAATATAATAATTTAAACGTTAAACCACTAAGCAAGTTTCAAAACTAGACAATGCATGAGTGATTAGTGGTTTAGAGCTTTAATGTTTACATTACTTGCTTATTTTGATAAAAAATAATTGATTAAAGGACTAAATTAAAAAATAAAATACTTTAGGAACTAAATTCAAAAATTAGTTTCATAATTTAACTAATTAATTTTTCATATTGGAATACCTAAAAATATTTACCACTTTGGTTTGATATATATATATTAATGGTTTATGGCTTAAATTTATAATTTAAGTACTTATTACGACAAATAAATTAAGTTAATGACTAATATATAAATAATGAATTATATTAGTTTTTTACCTTTTATAAAATAAAATATAATAGTACAAAAATATATTAAATTAAATTAGAGCTATTGTTTTAAATTTAACTTTAAATTTTAAAATATTTTTTATTTATCTAGACAAAATTTTATTCTAAATTACTTCATAAACTTAAAAGTATTCCATAAAATCTTTAAATTATCTATATCATTTTAATTTAATTCTTCCATCAACGTAATGTTAATTTTATTAATTTATAAAATATTAAGAATTAATTTTTAATTTTTAAAGAATTTAAAGTAATACAAAATATATAAATTAATAATAATCTGATTGATATTTTGGAAATTTAATTATCTTTTTAAGAGGTTGAGATGGGCTTAGAATTTGAAGATGGTTGGAAAGAATATTCAAACTTCATCAATTTGCGAAAGGGCGTCAGATGACGCAGGCCAACCAAGTCGAGATGATTGCTGATTGGATGATGGATGGTAAAGCCCAAAAACGTAACACGTCACAAGAACACGCGGCAGCTATTTATTGGTTCTAAACAACAATTAAGACCCGGATATTTCATCGGGTCTACTCAACTGAAATACCCGAAGAAGCCCTGAAAAAAAATTAACTCCAAAAATAAGCCCCGATTCCCAGACAACTGAAATCAATAGGAACCAATCGCAATTGATATTTTAATAATACGTGGAGTTTTCATGTAACAACAGCTTAGCGGATTTTCCCCCCTTCTGTCTCGATCCAGGATCAGAATTTACAGGTAATACATAAAACCTCTTTGTTATTTATTTGTTTTAATATTAATCACACTATAATGATTCGAAATTTAACAGTCAAATTGGTTGCTTCAACCACTAATTTCAATTTATCATCTTAATTTTCTTTTGCTATTGATTAATGGGTTCTTAAAAAGCTTTTGGGTAAGCACGATTCTGAGTTTTGAATTTGCGGGGAAAGGAACAAGGTTGAACGGGTAAAGCCTAATAAAATAAGAAAAAGGATAATGATGATTTTGTTTGGTAAATGGTGGGAAAATGAAGATAAATGAGAAACGTTTGATTGTACTAGCTTATTTCGTATGATTTTTTAATTTTTTTAATGTTGGGAATTATTCTATTTTAGGGTTTCTATGGATTTTGATTGTAACTAGGAAATCAAATAAATTACATCGAATTTTGTTGCTGAAAGGGGAAAAAAGAGAATCACTTTTGATGATTCTTGGAATGATAAGTATGGGTAGTATTTTTTTTCCGGTGGTCATGAGTTTTACAACTTCTACTGATAGGGTTGAGGGTTAGAATTGTTCTGAATGGGGATTCAAACAACGGGATCCCAAAGCAATGGCCAACAGGCTCTTTCACAAGCCCCTAGGTAGTATGAACCTTGATGAGCTTCTCAATAATGTATGGAGTAATGAATCGAATCCGACCTTGGGGATGGATAACGGAAGTATATCATCATCGTCTTCTCTCCAACGTCAGGCTAGCCTAACCTTGGTTAGAGCTCTGAATGGGAAGACGGTTGATCAAGTTTGGACTGAGATACAACATGGTCAGAAGAGGAGGTATGGTGAGGAGATGAAGGATCATGAAAGAGAACCAACGCTTGGCGAAACCACGTTGGAGGATTTTTTGGTACAAGCAGGACTTTTTGTTGCTGATACATCATTGACTCCTACCATGGAATTGCATACACAACAGAGTTTACCACTGCAGTTCAGATCGTCACCTACCCCATCGATTGGCACATTATCGGACACACCAATGACAGGGCGGAAAAGAGATGCTGAAGATGCATTTGAGAAGAGCATTGAGAGGAGGTTAAGGAGAAAGATCAAGAATAGGGAATCTGCTGCCCGATCACGTGAGGATCATGAAAGAGAACCAACGCTTGGCGAAACCACGTTGGAGGATTTTTGGTACAAGCAGGACTTTTGTTGTGATACATCATTGACTCCTACCATGGCATTGCATACACAACAGAGTTTACCACTGCAGTTCAGATCGTCACCTACCCCATCGATTGGCACATTATCGGACACACCAATGACAGGGCGGAAAAGAGATGCTGAAGATGCATTTGAGAAGAGCATTGAGAGGAGGTTAAGGAGAAAGATCAAGAATAGGGAATCTGCTGCCCGATCACGTGCCAGAAAGCAGGCAAGGGTTTATCATGTATTTGACTAATTGATAGTTCTCAGCTATTTGTTCCTTTAATTTTATGCAGCCATGGACTTCTTGTTTTGCACAGGCTTACCATAACGAGCTGGTTAACAAGGTTTCGCGATTAGAAGAGGACAATATAAAGCTCAAAAGAGAGAAGGTAGAATCTTTGCCCATATTTCTCCGGTTTGACATCTACACCCAAAACTTGTTTTTCAGAGGCTATAATTGTGCATTTCTTGTTTGTTTTTACTTTTTTCTCATAGATTCTGAAAGTGAATAATGATTTGGCTAGTATCACTCAAAGCTTTATGAGGTCAACAAGGCACTGGGGTTTCCTTCTCGACATACTGAATATCGAAACAGCTAACATATTCTTTTAAAATGCTTGCAGGAATTTGATATAAAATTTCAGTGTGAAACATCTGAACCAAAATATCAACTTAGAAGAACAAGTTCTGCCATTATCTGACTTGTGTTTTCCGTTGTTTCAAGTTTTCTAGTTGCCAAAATGTTAGGCTATCCAGTTGGCTTGTTGATGGAACTGCTTTGGGGATTCATCCAAGGGTTTGGCCTTTTCTACATTTATAATTATATATGTTGGTTTTCTACAGCTTCCAAAAACTGCCATGTTTATAATATTAGGTTCTGTTTATTTGGCTGAAAGACAACTGAATTGGTGTTGACTAGGGTTAATTGTACCTCTAAGTTAAAGCAAAGTACAAATAGTTGGCACTGCAGTAGAAGATTATGTCTAACAAATGAAAAATCTTACGCAAAATATTAAGTGTCGTGATATATTCTCATGAAATGTAATGATATTTGCAGGTGTTTTTCATTCTCAAGCTCCACCAATAGTATCATACAAGAAATATTGCTTTAAGAAAGACTAATGAAAATTCGCGTGGCAAAAATTAGAGACTCGTTCAGATGATCTATTTGCTCACAAGAAAGAGTAGCGTTTATATGAATTTGCCTTCATTCAATTCCTCGACATGCTTTTTAATATCGTCGCCTTGAGTTTTAATATGCTGTCTCTGATATCATCAATGGCTCTGTGTTTCTTTTCTTTGGGAGGGGCATGGGAGCAATGACCATCGACATATGATCAGATTCACATATAATTGCACCATTATTACCTAAGCACGGTACAGTATTTGTGTGTGGCACTTGCAAATAAATTTACCAATTCTTCATCTAACAATTTCATGAAATTTGTTTACTTGCAACTTTCTCAATCAAATACAAGTTTTGTAGCAAAGAGCTGGATTAGTTGAGATAAAAGATTAGCCAACTAGGGCATATATCTCATGGAATAAAAGAGGAAATCCAAAAGTATATAAGAACCATACACAATTTCCCCTTTAGAAAAGCAGTGGAATATAACACACAGTTAACAAGATCTGAGACTTTGCTACTTTACAGATATCTAATGATTTATAATATGAATCTGTGTGATCATAATAAAACAGTGATTGTCTCGTGTTTGTTTCAATTCTGAATTGAAAACATTAATGCTAATTATGTGACATAGACTTCTTCCTCTAACACTCATTTCAATACTAACTCCTTGGAATTATCCTTGCAGGAATTCATGGCCTCGACAAAAGATTTCATGGTGTCTACAAAAACCTTGATGCACGAACATTCTGCAACAATCAAAAATCAAGGAATTTTGTTACAAAGCTAGGCAACACTTTTGCAAAGCCATAGTTCATCTCTCGGAGCATTGGAGAATCAAGTGGGACAGATTGCCACGGCATTACATTCTCGCCCACACGGAAATCTCCCCAATGATACTAAAGTCACTAAGCATCATGGGAAGGAGCAATGCAATGTACTTACGCTGAGGAGTGGAAAACAAGTTGATCAAGATGACAAGTTTGGGGGAGAACAGCTGAACAATTCTTGCCAAGGCGTAACACAACCGGATGAGGAATCTAAGAATGCTGAACAAGAGAAAGCGCATGAAGAGAAGGAAAAAAGTGAAGGCTCAGAAAAGCATCAACCGGATAACAAGAAATTCATGGTCAAGGCCAGCGATTTCCCTGCACCATCAATAGTCGATGTGAGACCTCCACCACCGTTCTCTCAACGGTTGAAGAAACATGATGATGACATCCAGTTCAAGAAATTCATTGATGTCTAAACCAGTTGTGCATCAATGTGCCCCTACTCGAAGCCATCGAGCAAATGCCTTTCTATGCCAAGTATCTGAAGGAAATTGTTACAAAGAAAATGAAGGTAGAACGTGTCGCCACGGCAACAGAAATCTGCTCGGCAGTGAGCAACTTCCCACCAAAGTAAAAAGACCTTGGCAGTTTTGTAATACCATGTTCCATTAGTAATGATTTCATCGGACAAGCTCTTATTGACTTGGGATCAAGTGTAAACTTGATACCAAAATCGATATTCATGAAACTAGACGGGTATCACACCCATCCCACCTCAGTCATTCTATAGTTGGTTGATCGATCTTATGTGCGACCCGAGGGCAGAATTGAAGACGTCATAGTAAAGGTAGACAAATTCGTATTTCCAGTAGATTTTCTCATTCTTGATTGGGAAGCTAATGAACGCACCAATCATTATGGGACGCCCATTCTTAGCCACAGGCAAAATCCTAATAAACTATGAAAAGGGAGAATTCACCATGAGAGTTGGCGAGTAAAGTGTCACAATCAATGTATTCAACTCTATGAAATACGCAGACGATCCAAAGAAATGCCAATGCATTAATAAGATTGAAGAAAAGGCAATCCTGGGACGAGGTGAATCCCTAAGGCTCGATGAGTACAGCAATTTGCACCATGAACCTACAACCGAAATACATGAAGAATAAAACTTTGACCCTGATGAAATATTTCCAGAAGACGGTTCTGATAATCATGGCCACGACAACGAAAATATGCACACTTAGCACCTTGAAAGCGATACCAAGGCAAGATGCGAAGGAAAGAAAAAGGACCAATTGAGATTTCTTCATAGGTCAGGTGTGAAATTCGAACCTTTAGATTATGATGAAGTTAAATCTCAAGAGTCATCTTCACAACATGCACCGAAATTGGAGCTTAAGACTTTACCATAATAATTGAAATATGCTTATCTAGGAGTTGATGAAACTTTACCAGTAATAATCTTTGCCAACCTAACCTCCGAACAGGAGATTAGTTTGTTGAATGTTTTGTCACAACACAGAAAAGCTATAGGATGGACGATGGCAGACTTAAAAGGAATCAGTCCAACCATATGCATGCACAAAATCAATCTTGAAGATAGCCACAGTATCTCGGTAGAACCCCAAAGATGGCTCAACCCGATCATAAAGAAGGTAGTCTTGAAGGAAATAATAAAATGGTTGGATGCGGGAGTGATTTATCCTATATCTGATAGTTCATAGGTTAGCCCAGTCCAATGCGTGCCAAAGAAAGGTGGTGTAACCGTGGTTAAAAGCGAGCATGATGAGTTACTCACCACGAGAACAGTCACGGGCTGGCGCATATGCATGGATTATAGGAAGCTCAACAAAGGCAAAAAGAATGATCATTTTCCCCTCCCTTTCATCGATCCAATGTTGGATAGATTAGCGGGAAAGGCATTTTATTGCTTCCTTGATGGATACTCGGGGTATAACCAAATTGCCATAGCACTCGAAGACCAAGAGAAAATAACGTTCACATGCCCGTATGGTACCTATGCATTTAGGCGAATGTCGTTTAGACTATGTAACGCTCCAGTTACATTCCAACGATGCATGATGGCAATTTTTTCAGATATGGTGGAAGAGTGCATGGAAATATTTATAGAGGACTTCTCCGTTTCAGGTGATGACTTTGACCTATGCCTCGGTAATTTATCCAAGGTGTTGAAACGTTGTGAAGAAGCCAACCTAGTACTGAATTGGGGAAAATGCCATTTTATGGTAACTGAAGGAATAGTGTTGGGATACAAAATTTCATGCCATGGCATCGAAGTTGACAAAGCCAAGGTGGATGCAATTGCAAATCTTCCCCCACCTACTAATGTGCGAGGTGTACGCAGTTTCCTTGGACATGCAGGAATCTATAGGCAGTTCATAAAAGACTTTTTTCAAATCTCTAAACCCTTATATTTTTTGCTTCAACAAAATCATCCATTTGAGTTTACTAATGATTGTTTGAATGCCTTCACAGATTTGAAGAAAAAGATTTCAGCAGCGCCAATAGTTATCCCACTAGACTTGAACAACTGGACGGCTGAAGAATTACCTGTGGTTTTCAAATTTCTTTCAGAGTAATACTCAAACTATCCTTAGTCGCCTACACCCGGGGTAATAGGTGATCTTTTGTAAGGGTGAATAAATGTTTTTTTAAGTTTAATAGAATATGCAGTTTCTTTCACAACAAACATTTTTATTTTTCATTTCTTTCGAACTCAATTTTCTTCAATACTTTTCTTTTGGATTCAATTTTCTTTCATTCCGTAATTCGTTTTATCTTCTTTGGAATTTAATTTTCGATCATTCCGTGTGGAATATTTTCCTCTCACACATACACATTTCATCTTTGTCCTCTAGATTCAAAGATAATGATAATGCAGGCAATGATGATACTGACCCGGAAGTGGATTTTGAACAGTTCATTTGTCTTAGGGAAGTTGATGAATGTGACAATGAAGATGAGTGCAGTTTACCTTCCGAATTGTTAAGGATGATAGAGAGAGAAAATAATCAAATATTGTCACATGAAGAGAAAATCGAAGTCCTGAATCTGGGTATAGAATAAGAAAGAAAAGAAGTCAAAATTGGCACAACTCTCTCGAATGAAGCATGACAGAACTTAATATTCTTACTTAAAGAATACATAGATGTGTTTACATGGTCATATCAAGACATTCCGGGGCTAGATATAGATATGGTAGTCCACAAACTATCTATCAAACCAGAATGCAAACCCATGCAACAAAAGTTAAGGAGGATGAGACATGAAATGCTCCTTAAGATCAAGGAAGAGGTCAAGAAATAGTTCGATGTTAGCTTTCTTCATGTGGCCAAGTATCCGAAATAGGTGGATAACATAGTGCAAGTTCCAAAGAAAGACGGGAAAGTACGTATGTGTGTCGACTACCGAGACCTTAACAAGGCAAGTCCCAATGATAACTTTCCTCTACTGCACATAAACACTTTGGTGGATAATACTATCGGGAATACTTTCTTCTCGTTCATGGATGGATTCTCAGGATATAACCAGATTATGAATCCTAAGGACATGGAAAATACTGCATTCGTTACAATGTGGGGAACTTTCTACTACAAGGTGATGCCCTTCGGATTAAAGAATGTTAGGGCAACATATCAGAGAGTTATGGTGACCTTGTTTCATGACATGATGCATAAAGAAATCAAGGTTTATGTCGATGACATGATTATCAAAGAGTAAACCGAAAATGAACATGTCAATAATCTGAGAAAGCTCCTTCAAAGATTAAGAAAGTTCTAACTAAAATTGAACCCCGATAAATATACCTTCGGGGGTAATATCTGAAAAGTTGTTAGGCTTCGTGGTCAACAGGAGAGGTATCGAAATTGTTCTAGATAAAGTCAAAGCAATCCAAAATTTACCTCCCCCATAAATACAGAAAGAGGT